TTGGCCGTACTGAGTACAAGTATAGGTCTCACTCTCATCCCCTATTTAAAGCCAAGCTGAGAGAGAAGAAAACAAACTTAAAACGAAACTTGGATTTATTGTCATTAAGTTAATCCTGACTCATACCAAATCTCCATAGGGTTTCTGAAGCTGTAAATTTCAATTACAGGAGAAGGAAACTTCCCATCTTTCTCCTGAAGAGCCAATGGTGAATTTTAACCACTAAAGCTAATTAGCCTTTGGGTTTGCAGTGCAATTTGCTTTGAACTATGCTGTTGTTGTTGTTAAGTGCCATTCAGTCATAGGCGACTCATAGCAACCCTGTGAACAAAAGTCCTCGACACTTGCGTGATTTCATCCTTTTTGCAGATTCATAGGGCTTCCAGAGGCAAGCTATTTATAGAAGTGAATGCCACTCCTGCTTCCAAGCTTGTTTTAATTGGGGAGCTCCACCAAACACTGTCCACCATGGGTAACCATTATCACTTTTGACACATCAGTGTCACAGTGTTCAGCTTCACAACAACCACAAGTTACCTTGGTGTGGTAAGTGGACACATTAGGGCTATACGACCTATGAGAATGTTCAACCAAAAACAATTAAAAACAGTCCTGAAGTATGCTACCGGAAGAAAATGAAAGCCACATGTATAACAGTGCGAAGGACTTTGTAAACCCCAGCTTTCATGGCTCTGAGACAAGAAGAAATAGATGGAAATAAACTATTGCAACAGATCACTCTGAAAGGAATCATAACAGGAAGTTTTTTATAAAATGGGGAGGCACTTAAGAGCTTAACTCAAACAAATAAAAAATAATCAGGATTATTGGTCTGGTAGAGACAGGTAGAATCCTTGAGAGTGATCTCACTCAGAAAACTCACTGTCATTGAACTTGAACCAGTTCATATCTGACGTTCCACTGAATTTCAAAAATGTAAATTACACAAGAAGAGACTACTATTTTTCTTTGGTGGAGACACTGATAGAGTTGATAAAGAAGTGCAGACAACTGGAAAGAGTGAATAGAGGGGAAAGGTCAGAGTAATATTGTACATTTTAGGGATTGCAATCAATGCCATGAATCAAAATGCATGTTAATTGTTTTGCAAAATGGGAAACCACGTCCTTTGTATCATTTCACCTAAATCAAAATGCATTTCTTTTTAAAAAGGTGTATCCAAAGCTGTTGCATGTTGTTGTTGTTATGTGCCATCAAGTCGCCTGCGACTCATAGCGACCTTAGGTACAACAGCCCTAAACTC